AAACTGCTGGAGCAAAACACCAAACAGTTGGCGTGCACTCACTCACACAGTAACTAAGTGAGCATAAGAGACCGTGTTGTAATTAGAGACCCGACGCATAGGATGAACAGGAAAAAATGAATGAACATATTTTAAAATATTCTAAAATGTATTTCTCTCAGTTTGAAAATGCATATATGACTAGAAGGGTGTTGCATTCTGGAAAAAAGAGAATCCGAAATGAGTGTTCTCATTAAAATATACACATGCCCTAGTCTAATTTATTTTAAGAATGCAATGACTAAAATTACTTGAAAGGTACAGTAATTTTCCTGCTCTAAGTTATATATACTTTATATATAAATTAAGTAGATAGAATAATTTATAATCGGTTTTTGTCCTTATTTTTTTTAAGATAATTTTATCTTTAAATATTTAAATAATAAAAAATTATTATTAAAAATTACTTTTATTTTTACCTTTCAAATAAGTTAACCATTTTTAATTATTTAAATCTTCAAATTATTAATCACCTATTTTACTATTTAATCTCAAATTTTTATTTTTAAAATTTTAAATAAAATATAGATGTATGAAATATCTTGATCGCAATAGTAATAATATAAAAAGAATAAGCTAATGATAAAAGAATAGATCTATGGTAAATAGTGAAAATCGAAGGTAATTTTTTTTATTGTTAAAATATACAGATGCATTTAATCCAAAAAAATATATAGATGCAGGTATATATTTAAATCAAGCCAAAAAAAAATTAGACTCTTTTCTAAACATATATATTTAGTTAAACTTTAGAGTTGTTTTTTAAAATTATATTTTTTCCTTTATTTATCTTTATAATTTAATTTGATTTTATTATTTTTAAATAATTTAATTTAATTTTTAATTTTTAAATATTTAATGTTATTTTTCTATTCAAATCGATGTTAACAACATTAATAAAATAAGATGAATTAATAATATTAAATATTTTTTAAAAATTAGATAATTAAATTAATTCATTTAAAAATAGTGAGATCAAATTGAATATTTCAAAATTAGAAAATTAAATAATATTTAGTTAAAAACTTAAAAGCATCAAAAACTTTGATTTTTTTTAAAAAGTCATTTTTATTTACTTATGGTTTTAATTTTTTCTAAAATAATTTCAAGATAAATAAAATACTTATTTTAGTATTACATATAGAAGAAAAAAAAATATTTTGTCAACATTGAACATCTTTTAAAAATTAAAGAATAAAATTGAGTTATTTAAAAATAATTAAATCAAATTGAATTTTAAAAATAAATAAAAGAATAAAAAAATATAATTTATTTTTTTTAAGTACCATCCCATTTTAGTTCTTTAAGTCAAATGATTGATTTTCGAAAGAAAAAAAAAATATAGAGCTTTTAGAGTTTAATTTCAGGGTTGGATCCTTGAAACTTCATTTGAATGAAAAGAGAAAATTCTGGTGCTTGTATGTAACCAAAGGCACCTTGAAACCACAAAGCATGGCATGGGGTGGATTAAAAAATGTTATATTTGATTTTACCCTTTAAATGGGACACCTCCCCTGACGTCAAATGGTTATGACATATTGACATGAACCCAAAACCTCATCGCATGAGAAGCTTGCATTTAAATAAATTTTACATTTATAGGTGATGTCTTGAAGTTGGACAAGTGGTTATGGGTGGTGCATCTAAAATTACCATAGATATAATATTAAAAATAATGAATGGTTGAGATTGTGATTTAGTGAGTTAGAATACATTGTACACCTTCACACAGGATAAGATTTCTGAATTTTTTACTGAATTTTTTTTTAATTACCAAAAAAAAACCACGTATTACGATGTACTGACACAGCTGCTGTCACTTTCGGAACGGGCCGTTCTGAAATCAGAACGGCCCGTTCTAGATGAAAAAATAACAAAGGAATAATGCACCAGAACGGGTCGTTCCAGAAGAAAAAAAAACACGTGATGACTGCACCAGAACGGGACGTTCCAAAATCAGAACGGGCCTTCCGAAATCAGAACGGGACGTTCCGAAATCAGAACGGGCAATTCTGAAATCAGCACGGCCCGTTCCATATTTAAAAATAACATATGAATACTTAAACCAAAACGGGCCGTTCTAAATTCGGAACGGCCCGTTCTAACTACATATTTGACATATGCACTTTTTTTTAAGCAAATTTTTTTTTTCATTCTACTAAATTACATTTAAAATTTAAGTATAGTTTTTCAATTGAGCGAGATATGAAGCCCCTTCCTCAATGACATCAAGCATCTTATGAATAAAGCCAAAAACTAGGCCTAATAAGCTTAAAACTCAAAAAGTCTTATACTAAGGCCCGTAATACAAGACCAAACAATATAAACTCCTATACTACCAAATATATGAGAAAGGTAGTCAACTATGTAAAGTCCAAGTAAAGAAAACCTTGGGCCCACCAAACTCATTGGGCTCACTAAGCTTAAAAGCAATCAAAAGTATAAAGGCCCATGAAGCCCAAAACTAGGCCCAATAAGCTTAAAACCCAAAAAGTCTTATACTTATGCCCATAATATAAGACCAAACAATATAAACTCCTATACTAAAGTCAAAGTAAAGAGAACCTTAGGCCCACCAAACCCATTGGGCTCACTAAGCTCAAAAGCAATCAAAAGTCTAAAGGTCCAAGAAGCCCAAAACTAGGCCCAATAAGTTTAAAACCCAAAAAGTCTTATACTAAGGCCCATAATATAAGACCAAACAATATAAACTCCTATACTACCAAATATATGAGAAAGGTGGTCATTCATGTAAAGCCCAAGTAACGAGAACCTTAGGCCCACCAAATCCATTGGGCTCACTAAGCTCAGAAGCAAACAAAAGCCCAAAGGCCCATGACGTCTAAAACTAGGCCCAATAAGCCTAAAATCCAAAAAGTTTTATACTAAGGCCCATAATACAAGACTAAACAATATAAATTCCTATACTACCAAATATATGAGAAAGGTGATCATCTATATAAAGCCCAAGTAAAGAGAACCTTAGGCCCACCAAACCCATTAGGCTCACTAAGCTCAAAAGCAATCAAAAGTCTAAAGGCCCATGAAGCCCAAAACTAGGCCCAATAAGCTTAAAACCCAAAAAGTCTTATACTAAGGCCCATAATATAAGATCAAACAATATAAACTCCTATACTAAAGCCCAAGTAAAGAGAACCTTAGGCCCACCAAACCCATTGGGCTCACTAAGCTCAAAAGCAATCAAAAGTCTAAAGGCCCATGAAGCCCAAAACTAGGCCCAATAAGTTTAAAACCCAAAAAGTCTTATACTAAGGCCCATAATACAAGACCAAACAATATAAACTCCTATACTACCAAATATATGAGAAAGGTGGTCATC